GGAGTTGATGCGTCGTGGTTTTGCTCAGATGAGTTATGAGCGGGCTCAAGCAACGACGTCACACGTTTGACTAAAAAAATACTGTATTATACTGTAAGACTGAACTGTAGCTTGCTGTTAACAGTTTATTATCATCATTTACTGTATTTAACTGTATTTTCACAGAACGGTACATTACTGTAGAAAATTCCATGTATTTTTACAGCAATTATTTACAGTACTCTTTGAAAAATCTGGAAAGGAAATTTATACTAATTTTTTTTTACAGCAAGGAAGCATACAATTGATCAAACATGGCAGTACATTATTTAAAAAAAAATCTATTTTAAATTAATGCTGTCTAATTGAATTTCATTAAAAATCCTGAAAAAAATGTAAATCATAATTTTCCAAAATTTTTTGCAGCACAACAGTTTTTAACTTTGAAATTAAGACATGTTTCACACCAAATCAGCCTATTAGAATGATTTCTGAAGGATCATGTGACACATCTTATGTTACACAAGATTCACTCCAGTTTTCCACAACACTGCAAATCATACAACTTCACTGTAGTTTGCATTCTTAAAACTTGTTTTATAGTGATCAAGATGATACAAATACATTTCCTCCATGTTAGATGCTCATCCAAAACGTCAATCTGTGACGTTTACATATTCTTTTTGTTGAATGTCTTTTCACGATACAAATGCAGAGGTCAGAGTCTTTATTATACAGCATTCTCCATTCCATAAAGGTCACTATTGTGACCTTTGACACTATTTGAAGAGGAACCTAATGGTTTCACAGTAACCTTAGCATTTTAGCTTAAACTATGTTTTCCTAAGCGTGAGAAAGGTCTCTATACTGAGAGGTTCAGATGAGGATAATGCAAATTACAATTGGGCCAGTAATGATGACTTCTTTTCAATGTCAGTGAAGTGACTGGCCCAGAATGGAGCATGACATAAAGCTCCAACTATCTTTTCTGACAGGCTCGTCTTCATCTCAGTGACTCTTACATTTTCATTCCCTCCTCTGACCTCAATCAAGGCCTTTCATTTTATCATAGCGCAATTTCCATCACATATATAAACTCATTTGCTTTCATGAAGGTCAATGACTGAATGAATACAAACGGAGAGAGTTATCTGGACACGGCTGGTCTTAGAATCTGATGTCATTATGAAGATTCACTGTGGGACGACTAGGTAAATAAGCGGCTCTCGAAGACATCAGATGGCAGACGACTGCCGCAAAGCGGGACGGAGCTGGTGAAGGACGGGACCATGTTGGAAAACCTACTGGTGGGGAAACACACTGCATGTTGTGCAGCGCACGCGCACACACACACACACACACACACACACACACACACACACACACACACACACAAACAAACACACACATAACAAGTAATACTGCACTCCTGTAAATATACCTTTCCCAGTATATTTCATCCCACTAATGAATGTTAATTTCAGTCCCCTGGTGCTGATCCAATATGCTGATAAAGAAAGAGTGTGTGTTTGTCTATGTGTGTGTGTGTGTGTGTGTGTGTTTGAGGCCCGTGGGGCCACCTGAGCATCTCGTGGAGTGGCGCTTTCATATTGAACATTAGTAAAATGGACCAGAACGCCTGGCTTTCTTCTCTCATCTGTAATTAAAGAGATGATTATTAAAATGAAGCTGTAGATAGTTCCCTTAAGCATGCTGATACCATAACACAGAGTGAGGAGCTCCATGCAGATGCTCTCACAAAGGAAACTGTAGTGTAGCTACTCTGTATCAGGTGCAACTGTGAGTGGCGCTCGGGGGCTCTCACGAGACCAACGCCATCCCTGACCTCTGCTGCGGTTTCCTCTCCCTACTCGCTTACGAAAATCCTCCAGAAATAGAAGAATATATTGATATTCGACCTTGTGTGGGGTTATAGTATCATCTTGCTTGTTCACAAAGTGATAAGATGCATTCATTAAAGCCTGCATTTACAGTCCACATGTCAGCTACATGGTCAAAATGTCCTGAATTTTAACAGAAAAAGAATGTATGAAAAGTGAAACCTACTGACTGTGTGACCTTATCATATACAGTGGGGAAAAAATGTAGATTTACTCTAGTTTTACTCAAAAATACTGCATTTTTAATAACAATGGATTATATTCAACACAATTATTTGTATGCATTTTATTTGTAAACAGAAAATATATTGTATGTGTCACGTTTACTACTGTGTTGGAGCACGGAATGAGGAGACGTGGAGTACATCAACAAGGATATTTTAATGAAACCAGGAAAACACACGTAGCTGAGGAGGTAGACTTCAACAATACCGGACAGGAAACGAGGGGCAGAACACACTTTAAATACACAGGAGCAAATTAAGAAATAATAACACAGCTGGAACTAATGGAACTAATCAGGGAACATAATGGGAACAGGAAACAGGAAGACCAAATATAGACATAAACATAATATAGAGCACGTGGGGGAAGAAAACACACAGAAACGGAACAGAGTCTGACATTACTCCCTGTGGGTACCCTGGAGGTCCCTCAGGACAGACACGGGACGGCAGGCCTCCAGAGCGGTAACTGTTCCGGGACCCATGGTGGATCAGGCAGTTCGGGCGCCATGGCGGAGCATAAACCATCCAGGGAGCCATGGCGGCACAGGGAGCTCAGGGAGCCATGGCAGAGCAGGCAGCTCGGGGCGCCATGTCGGAGCAGGCAGCTTCGGGAGCCATGGCGAATCAGACCTCACTGGGCTAAATTCAGGGACAGGAGCCCTCCGTGGGCTAAACTCGGGAACAGGTGCCCTCTTTGGGCTGGATTCGGGGGCTGGAGCCGACACTGGAGCGAGCACGTTTGGGCGCATTCGGGTGAGGAAGAGGGCCCTGAGCCAGCCATTTCTCCTCTTCCTCCTCTTTTGATTACGGGTGAACTGGGCAGCCGGCGGGCTTGACAACGGCGCGGCAAAGCGTGAGGCGATCTCCATTATCGCGGGGGAAAAACCAGGAAAAACAAAGACTTTTCAAAAACGAAAAACAAACACAGAGAGAAGGGGCGCCGCTTACTGTCTTGGTCCGGTATTCTGTCAGGTTTGCTACTGTGTTGGAGCGCGGAGAGAGGAACGAGGAGACGTGGAGCAGTGTTGCCCACTGCTTTCAATTGAAAGTAGATAAAACTGGTAGCTAAATGTCACAAGATGACATCACAATGGCAAATGCACTGATCTATATAAAGATGAACGTAGATCAGTGGGCAAGATGATAACTTAGATAAGGTTTGTCCAAGAAGTTGAAAAAAGTCTCAAAAGGGCGGGGAAGTCGCTAAATCTAGCTACAAAGTAGCTAAATTGGCAACACTGACGTGGAGTACATCAACAAGGAGATTTTAATGAAATCAAGGGAACCAGGAAAACACACGTAACTGAGGAGGTAGACATCAACAATACCGGACAGGAAACGAGGGGCAGAACACACATTAAATACACAGGAGCAAATGAAGATAATTAATAACACAGCTGGAACTAATGGAACTAATCAGGGAACTAATCAGGGAACATAATGGGAACAGGAAACAAGAAAACCAAATAAGGACATAAACATAATATGGAGCATGTGGGGGGAAGAAAACACACAGACAAGGAACAGAGTCTGACAGTATGCTATTTGTAAAGAAAAATTTAAAGCACTTTTCAAATAAAATTGAAATAAATTATTATTATTATTTAATTTTCATGTTTTTCATGTTATTTTATTTATTAAAATCATATATAAATTTTTTCATGTTTTTCTTACATTATTTTATTAAAATTACTGTGTGTATGTATATATATATATATATATATATATATATATATATATATATAAAATTATAAAATGTGTAGTCAAGTTTTTAAATACATATGATTACAGAAAGAACTGTCATCATCATAACATTTTGAGTGAAATTTAATTAACTTTGTAATGTAAAAAAATACAAAAAAGTAGATTTTATATATATTATAAAAAATTAAGTATTTTATTTTTTTAATAAATAAAAAACTGTTAATAGATGCTCCCTGCAGAATCTATCACTTTTGTTTATATGTTATTTAAATGTATTTAAATTTAGTTACATATACGTTTAATGTTACATTTCAAATAGTTTGGTTAATATTTTTTTCATTATTTCAGTATTGTTTTTTTGACATGCTTATGGTAATTATCAGAATATTTTAAGGTTAAAAAAATTAGTAGGTTGATTCTTATGACCAATTATGATGATGAACTATGAACTATACAGGCACCACAATGCCTCCCATAATATCTAAAACTTTAGGGTCACATTTTAACATCACCTATTTTTTTCAGTGAATTTGTGGCAACCTACTGTATGCCATTTTAGCATAAATTATACATATATATTTATGGTCTATAAAAGAAAATAAGAGTGATCCCTCAAAGTTCTTGACATGCCACTGCACTTCTCATATAAGACGCTAATGGAAGTCTTGAGCACATAATGTAGTTTAAATGGCTGTGTTTTAAGCCCCACCCACACCGCTGGCTACAGTTCATGAACAATAGCAATTTCTGCTCTCCAAGTGACATGGTTCACCCAAGTGTTAAAAAATAACTATAAAAGCCCATGTTGATATAGGGGCAAACACAACTTAACTGTGAACGTAATTGCAGCTTTACAACTAAAGGATCAACCCTCTGATCCAGGCCAATTTCAGCTCATGATTCACACAGCACAGTGTTTGCAGTAAATAATGCAGTGAAAATGAAACGTTTAATCTTTTCTTTACACTCCTGTGTTCTGCATACAGCTGTTTGTCTGGACAGCGAATATGACAATGAAGCCGTTTCCTCTGCAACATCCCTCACAGTTTGTCACATACAGTAATAATACTCTCTGCCTCCAAAAATAATGACAAGCAGGCAGCTGAATATATACATTTGATTAAATGTTCTATTTATTAAACATGTATCCATTTCGGCAGCAAAAAAACATGTAAATGTGCATCAAAGAAAACAAATGATTCATCTGCATAATAAGAATAAGAATATAAACATAAAAACAGAAAGCAAATGAGGCAGCACAAGAACTTCTCAAATCGCTTTCTCACTTTATGACAACAGCGCCTTCTGTTGGTGTGAAATTGAAGCCTGTGATGAGAGATGGCCGTGGCACACAATACAGTGTCTGCAACATGTCATTCATTCGACCTTCTCGTCTATTCATAATTCATATGAGAATTAAAAAGATCAGTGAAATCATGCAGTTACAGAAATCCCAATTAAAATATCATTGTAAATTCTAACAAAAATTGCAGCATTGCACATTGATCATGGTCATAAAATACACAATGTAAAAATGTATATTATTATTATTATTGTTTTTTTTTACTTCTTGGTCATGTATGCATAGGTGGCAGATTACACATTGTAATGGGTTATTTTAGTCCCATTTCATCCAAAACACCATTTAATTCTACTTCTACTAAGAGGATGCAAAATGGTCACGAAAAACTAAATTTACCTACATCATAAGTGAACTTTAAGGAAAAACTAAAATAGTAAATATATATATAACCTCCTCAAATATTTGTTGCAACTTAACTGGTGCTTTTGTCTTATTTGTTTGAAATCCATGTGCTATTTTCAGACCAAAAACCCATGAGAGATCACAGTATAGAGAGTTCAAGAGAATGGATCACCTTGGACAACAAACGCATGAAGAAACTCACACACACACACAAACACACACACTGCTCTGGAGAACAGTGCAGCTCTGTCCCTGCTGCTGCGCTTGCTTATGGATTTGCTCCAGGATGTTCCTATGGAAATAGAGAGGAGAGGAACATCTAATGCCAGGTGATGGATTTCTATTCATCAGAAGGACTTAATGAAAAAGCTCTCAACCACGAGGTGAATGTGTTGGCAATATACATCTACTTTTCAAACCCCATCAAAGGTGGACATCAAAAACCTCATCCGGTTTCTCCTGAGAGCCGTCTGTGATGACTGTGGAGGTACAGAGAGAGAATGAAAGGCTGGGAAAGAGTCACTCAAGTCACTGCGAGTTATTATCATTCTTTGCTCTTCAAAAGATAAATAGTACTAAGTACTAGACAGGATAGGGATTCTAATGCAGTAGGTACAATGTGGTCCAAAGACCACTAGTAAAAATGATAAACATTTTTTCTAACTTAAATATATTTTTTTCAATAACAATTACATTCAACTTGACAAAGCATATTTTTACAATATTTCATTATTATTATTTTATTTGTAAGGCCACTACAATGCATGTACATTTACAGTAAAATAGTTTTGATTATTCTAACTGATTTTATTTTTATTTTATTTATAAAATACTCTGAATATTTTTATAGAATATTACTTAATAGTGCAATATAGCTGTCATTTGCATAATTAGCATTTTCTAATTAAATACAATTATTAAAAATTAATAAAATGGATACAATTATTTACCTTATTATAAAGTGAAAAAATATGCATACGCTAAAAATGTCATGATGAAAATATAAATTGTAATATTATTTTTAAAATTAAATAAGAATAATTTAATAAACTTAAAATAAAAATATAAAATAATATGTAAGAAAAACAAAAAAACTATTTTATAAAAATAGTTTTATAAAAATAATTAATTTATCTTATTAATTAAAATTTTTGTACTTGTACTTTTATTCAGAAAGAAAACACACACACACACACACACACACACACACACACATATACTGTATATACACACACACACACACACACACACAC